TTCTTTTTTCTTCTTAAAGTCTCGAATTAGGAGGTGCCAAGAGATGATCCTGCGCGGAAAAAGGTGCTAAGGCGTTCCTCTATCCGCTGCCCATGCTGTCACCCTATCAATCTTCACATACGTGGCGTTTACGGCCTCCCGCGTACAATATGTATGTTCTCTCGTAGCGCTACGTCTCTTCATCACGCCACGGTCGACTTCAGAAAAATTCTAGTGTGAGCCTTCTCCATTGCATGTAAGCGTTTCGTAAAACAACTCTATTTTCCATTTTTTTTCGATTTTCCTCTGTGAACATAATAATAATTGCAATATTACACGTTGGAGACCGCGCATGTTTTACGTTGTGTGGCCGGCACTTGAGCGAATTTTTTTAGAAATCTTATCAAGCAAATTGGATTGGAAAACCCAGTGTATTCTGCAGATTAAACCTTATTAAATACAATGGAAAAGAAAATGAAAGAAAAACCTAATATTTGTTCCCGAGATGTGGACAGAAAGGTCCTAAGCGGTTGACGGACTGCAGCCCATATATGGGCTGCATGGGATCCAAGGTGTTAATAACATTGAATTTTTTGACTGACAGTGACGTTTCTTGTTAGTGACTTCTGAGCAAACCGTCTAGTACTTGTAAATTGTATAGCGGTATGATGTGATAAAGCCTGATCATCACGAGGTTCAAAGTTATCAGGCTTTATCAGCTAACTCCTTCAAATTGAGCAGCGGAGGAAACGAAAGTCGAAAAGTGCAGTTTTTAGCGCTCCTTTCACAACATGTCTAAAAAGTGAACAGATCTTAAGCAGTTGCAAAGAAACTGCTGCATGTCGAGACCCATCTAATTTGATAGTGTTTAGCAAAACTCAGGCTCACTATTTTTCATTTAAATGCTGGTGACCACTCAGCGAATCGCCCAGTACACCTCGCTCTTCTTTTCAGCTTATCATCCCGTATTTGTAGAAATTGGTTTGAAGCCTCAATCTAGTTCCAGGAATCACAGGTAGATTAGAAGCACGCACACAATCACATTCGCAGAAGTGGAAAATATGAGGTTGCGCACGTATACGTACGGCTTATTAGGCTTAGTAGAAATTTGCATGCATGATTCAGAACTGAATTGAGCAGTTTAGGAAAGATATAAACGTGATTCCCAGTACACTGACATTTTAGGTGCCAACAAGCTCCGTTTGCGAACGATAGTCGCATCTGGTAACAATGGCTGCCTCCAACAGGGTCAACTGTTTGTTCGAACCATTCGAAAGAGGGGATCGCAAGCTCGGGCACCTACAGCGATAACCATGGCGATATCGCCAGTGGTTGGTAAATGGGAGGGGGAGGGATGCGCTGGAAGAGAACATGAGTCTGTGAGAATGAAAAAAAAGTTGTTAAAATTGAGGTTGACTGATTCGTATATCTCAGACAGATCGGCAGAATAAAGGGCGAGCTTGCCAGAGGTATTAAGGGGGATAACCAGCCTTTCAATTTTATGCAGTCCAAATGAATATGGAACACATCCGTAGGCTAACGCTTGTATCACTACTCGACAAGGATGAGAATCACTGGCTTTCACAGCTTATAGCAAGCAGAAATAAAAAGCCTGCGCAATTCCCAACTACAGGTGCGTGCATGGCGCTCCCCAAACCAACCAGGACTTGTTGGCAGCAACCCCTTTGAATTCAATTCATCACGAGCGAAACGGTTGCTGTGGACGGATTTCGGTGTACTCAGATGAAATTCAAGAGCAAGTACTAAGTACAGGGTGTCCCAAAATTATGGGCGCCTACACACAGCAATATATTTCAAGCTTCTAAAGGGACGATGCTGACTGAATCTACACATAAGGTAAATTGCATCATCCTCAACAACGTGGAATAACTAGATATCGAAATACTCTCCAACGCGACTAATGCAAGCTCTAAGTCTCTTCTTGGGCTTCGCGCACGTTGCACGCAGGAAGAGCCTCTGTTAGTTCTTCTCAGGGTTCCTTCGAATGTTCTTCATGACTCGAACATTGACGCACACAAGAATTGACAAACATTACCTTCGCTCAACACACACTAAGAAGTGAGGTGGCGGCGAACTGTGAAAATACGGCCGTTCTCGGTGCCAGCAAAGTCGCGTGCAACTGAGACTCGGCCCACCAACTTGGAGGGAACTTGGCCATGGAGGCCTGAAGCACTTTTTGGCTGGAACGGCAACTTCGGAGTTTATTTCAGTTAGGATCGCTGCCGGAGCTTCATTTAGTTCAGCCTCAAGTGTCCAGATTTTGCTGATTTGGACCTCCCGAAACAAAAAGAAAACTAACGGCTCCTTACCGACTGGCGTGAGTGATTAGGGGTTTTAAACGAATTAGAGACCCATGGTTCGATTGACTTTGCAAACAATCTTTTAGCGTGAGTAGCTCCTAGCATTTCTGCCCGAAAGAATAGCATATTTTCCGACTCATTGCAATCTCTCTGCTATGGAAATTATTCTCTCATAAGAAAGTGCTGGTAGGGGTTGGTTGTCATCACTGAAAGGGCATAGTGAGCAACTCGCAATCTTTTGACCCGCTGTTCCTTGATTGATTATCGAAATTGAGCTTGGACACTCCGTGGCATATGGTGAGGAACGGCTATGATAGTTCTTTCATTGACTACCTTTTTCCAATCGATGACTTGCGATTCCTCAACTTCCGCTCCGCCATTTTCCTTCTTTGAAGGGAGCTCGAGGATTACTCATGGTTCCGTTGTTATCGCTTGCCGGTCGGTCAGTAAAATTACGTGGTTTTTTCGAATACATTTTTTAGTATTCAAATTGGCGTGATATTGATGCTGGTGCGCGTCGACTTTGTAGCCAGATAGCGCGCAAGATTTTCGTTTGGAACGTTTGGAATATCCTTATTGTGATCGATAAACGTTTAGATTTATCTCACTTGCATTCGGATCGCGCCCTTACCGTTTACTTCTAGGCTACGCGTGTTACATAGTATCGTAGAGGATAACATACGCGTACTGTACCTTGGTAGAACATACAAATATATTGACATTGTCCTTCGCTTGGGGTACCACCTCGGTGCGTATGCGAATGATCGCAGGTCGCATGGTGAAAGACCTCCCGCGCTCCTAGGCGAATTAGGGATTTCACACCGTACAACCAAACACGTTTACAATCGAGGCTTTGTGTGTAAACTAATCAATCAGCAAATAAGGCGGAAGAATATCGAGTACTTTTTGACCAACAAACTTTTTAGAATTTCGGCGCCCATAATTTCTGGGACACCAGTAAACGGATAGCCGAAGGGATGAATCCCGAGGCTGAAAATAGAAGTTTCAGATAAGCCAGGTTCTTGGTGGAAACTCTTCAAAACTTTTTTTTGATATGCGTTTGAAAGCACAAATCTCTTGTTTCGGAAATTATCTTTCTTCTACAACTCAAGGCTTATTGAAGAAATCTAGGACTGTTAAAATCTCGGAAACTCGAAGTTGCTGCTCCAAAACCTAGGAAAAAAGACTGCGAACGAATGATTTTTTTTCGAAAAAAGAATTTTGTGAACGCTCAGACTCTTTTTAAAAGCACAGATCCTGTACGTTCTAGAGGTGCCATAAGTTTGCCATAGGAACGAAAAAAAGAAAGTTATGGTCAATGGAATGTCGAAAGCTCGCGATTTCAAAAGAGTTTACCAAGACACCCCAAAAAGTGCAAATGTGCGATTATTTAAAGGTCGGTTTTAGGAAAAGATAAGTCTCTTGTTGGAAAGGGGAAATCTTGTACTCTCTTGTCATGCTAAAAGTTTGTCATAGTATTGAAAACAAGGAAAATTATGATCATCAGAATAAAAGAACCCACATTTGCACGAAAAAAGTGCGAACGGGGAATTTCTTAACAAAATTAGCGATCACAAATGTGTGACGCTTTTGAATAGAAATCCCAAAGAAATTACAGCCTTTCAAAGATGGAGGTGCGCCTTCTCAGAAATTGGGGTTTTCCACTTCGTAATAGAAGCACTTTTCGACATATGTATAATCTTAGTAGCTTTCTGGAAACAAACGTCGTGCATATTCCAGAGCTACTCGAATAATAAGAAAAGGTACGGTTTCGAGAATTTATTTCTCTTTTCTCTTACCTTGCAACGATCTCTCACTGCCTAATAAACGGCGCGCTCCTAGGCTAACGCCGCCACGCAATGGTCGTCTCTTGAGGGCTTTCAAGTTTCATAATCTTACGTTGATGTACTTGTTCACTAACAAAACAAAATCAGTGGTCTCACCGGGACCCCTAGGAAAGCGAGGGTCGCAAAAATCATGTAAAAGTGTGGACGAAGTGCTTGACCCTGCCTCCAATCACAGGCGCTGTCGCCTTCATATTGAATTATAGACAAAGAAACTATTATAGAAGAATTTGACAGGTCTAGAAGTCCATACTTGAACGGCCACAGGTACCTCACTTTATGAACTCACAACAGTTC